ACTGTAATGAATGTATTTTTCGACAATACTGGTTGCAAGGGTCGTAGTCTATTGTTATGAAAGCAATATCCCACCATGAATGTTGTGATTTGTGGTTGTAGCACCAGTCCATCGTAGAGACCGTAGTCGAAAGAAATTGTAGTTGTTAGTTATATAGGTCATAGATGGTTGCTTCGGGAGAGTTGATATGCTATAGAGGTCGTAGGAGAAAGATACCGGAGTTGTGAGCCACATAAATTGTACTTGGTCACGTTGGTTGTGTACTAAGCTACAATAAGATTCGTAGATCATTGAGGCCAGAGCTGAAAGCTGCATGAGCTGTGAGCCGTGTAGGTCATAGTTGGTCACATATTTCGTAACATAGTGTTTGTAATAAATTTTGTAGTTATAGATGCTGGAGTTTCATGAACTGTGATATGATTCACTGCTAACAATAGCCAAAGTTAGGAGTTACACAAGCTGTGTTAATGTCTATAGCTGCAGAAGCCGATGTTGGGAGCTGCAGAAGTTATGATAATTTTATATGCCACATTAGTCGAAATCGAGAGTTGTGTGAACCATGATAACGTTTGTTGCTGTAGAGAGAGAAGTTGAGAGTTGCATGAGTTGTGATACCTTATGTAGGCCACAGATGTCAGAGTTGTGAGTTGCATGAGATGTGAGCAGTTGGTCACACAGGCCGGAGCGATCAATTGCAATTATGTACTAGAATGCAGATGCCCTAGTTAAGAGTTGTCTGAGTTGCAATAATATTCGTAGGTCGTAGAGGTCGGATTTGAGAATTGCATGAGCAGTGAGAAGTTATAATGTCATAGGCCAAGGAAGCAGGAGTTGCGAGCTGGATAAGTTATAATATAGATGTAAACAACACGCAAGAAAATGGTAAGGTAGTTAGGAATTTCCTCCCAAGTTTCCATTCTAGAACTCACCCGCCCAAAACAAAATACAAATATTAAATTTTAAATATTTACTATGTAAATATATAAGAATTACATGGCATGTAAGGAATTTTTTTATTTTTTTTAAAAGCCAATGCGCACGTATACCGCCAAACACAAGGATGACGAGGAGGTAGGACCTGCGACTAACAACTAATCTCCATAATTTGATCGAATGTTTTAAAACCAAACCATTAGCAATTTTAGGTTTGCATAGTTTTCTCCATGATGTTCAATGAACACCTTTTCCATGGCCAACCCACAAGAAGTGGTTGAAGACTCTCTCAATCTTAAGTTGCATACTCTTCGTCAACTTAGACATTTGTAATATATATGAGGTAATGATTAAAGCACATTTTTCAATATACGTTGATAGTTGTTGATAGTTGCGAGAGAGCCTATTGTTATTGAGTTGCACTCTCACATATAAAGGTGTTAGGCGGACCACCAATGGGTCGACGATCCATGTCCACATAAGTATAGTAATATTTGGTTTATTTGTGAAATTTATATTATACTTTTATTTTCATGCTAATTAATCTTTCCAATCTTATATTGGATGATCATATGAGCTTAAAAGAGTTTTAGAGTTAGAGCCCAACAGAAGTTAGTGGCTCTAGTGGTCGGTCTGACCATTCTAACTTTGAGATCTTGAGGGAAGCTTCCTGAGGGAAGAAGCAAATAATCTACGACCTTGGCACCAAGGGATTTATCAATGAGCTGCAACACTCTTGTTTTGTTCAGAGGACGTCATCACTTGATGAAAAAGTCTTCAAACGTGTTGTCGCGTTGACCGAGGAGTTGCAGTCCACCTTCGCTACTAGGTTCTAGAAGATTGAGATAATTATGGAGCAACTACGATGGAAGACAGATCTCCATGACAAGCAAACTTTGGGAGAGGAGATAGAGAAAGAGTAGGAGGAGAAACATCAACATAATTATCATTTTTCCTCCTATGTGTGTTGAATTTTATTTGTATTTCACTTATGTATTATGTAGATTGGACACTATTGTATTGTATGATATTTTGTTATTAATATAGCTTTTATGATATTGTTCAATTTGGTTATCTATTTATTCTTTTACACTGTTATGAGATGTTTTGACTATGTATGCTAATAATTTCATTTTGTGAGTTCAAGTATGTAAAATTTCATTAGTTATCGACCCTATATTTTTTTTTCTCTTTCAACAGTTTTTTTGGTTGATTAGCTCTGGAATTTTTAGCTATTAATACATTTACGACTAAAAAATTTTGCCACTAAAGTCATGGTCATTTAGTCCAACATAATTTTAGCGGCTAATTTTGTAAGTCACTAAACTCTAGCTATTAATTATATTGCCGCTAATCTGTCGATAATATTTAAAGATGAAAATATTCAGTTGAAAATGCCTTTACAATAGAACTTTTATAATTGAAATTTTTTTATTACAATTCAGTTTAGAAAATGGATTAACAAAAAAAAAGTGATTACCAATTAAATTATCAACCGAGAATCACATAAATTCCTTCAGTGACAACTAATCGGGTTAGTCATTATTGGATAACATTCGGAATAAGTTTGAGTCAACTAACAAGAATTGATCAATACTTAGTGATTAGGGGGTTTAGTGTGAAAATGCAAGATAATTGAAGATTAATGGTTATGTGGGAAGATGAGTTTTTTATGATTAAGAGAGAAAAAAAATAGCATTTATTATGTAGAGCAAGCTTATTGATTGGATTAAAAGTGGAGTGCTTCTTGGTAAGAATTGGATGCAATCTTTGATGAAGCCAGATGACTTTGAGAGCAAGGAGATTTTAATAATGAGGTCAAATGGAGAATGTTGAAGAGGGAGAGGGAGAGAAGTAGAGAGAGAGTTAAAGAAGAGGGAGAGAGAGGGGAAGGAGGGAGGGAGAGTAAGGAGGAAGGGAGAGAGGGGGAAAGAGGAATGTGGGTGGCAGCTCTCTTGCTTTAGTACTTAAAGTTAATATGGTAAGGGATGTAAGGTGGATGGTTGGTATGTTAAGAAAGGAGAATTATTTTGGATAAGATTTTTTCTTAATTTTCTATGACTAGGGGTTATCAAAGTGGTATGCATTCATAATATATGTTCATAAATGGTGTTTACATGGCTTAATTTACATTTAATTTCTAAGACAATGACTAGAACTCAATTTTCACTTGATTCGTTAGAATAATGGCCATCAAACTCAAACATAATTTAAATTCAAGCTTATCTTTTATGTCATAAACATTATATCAATAGATTGGTTGCATTATATCAAAGTACCTTATAATCATGAGCAATTGTAGAATGAGAGAAGAAAAAGTTAAAAAATAATATTTTAAAAAAGAAAGGCCCTCTTGTAATATAGAGAAAAAGAGAGTGAAGGGGAAGCAATATTAACTCCTTATTTCTTACATCTAGCCATCATTTTCATAACAAATGATTATATTTCCTTTTAATTGTTGACAAATACAAACATCAAGCAATTTTTCTTGAATGATAAATCAAAAAAGTTATTACTTTTCCCGAGTACACGGTAACTGAAGCAATAAGCAAATATCTCGTTATTTTAGTGATTTCAACCTATATGTTGAGTTTTATTTGCTTATAAATAATTAACTTATTTTTTAATTCATTATATATTTTTAGTCATAGCCATCTTTCAAAAATTAAATAAGAACATTGCAAAACATCAAATTGTAGTAGGAGACGCACACTCAAACAACAAAGAGCTGAGTATGAGACACCTAGACTTCTTACAAGAAAAATCGTTAAAAAGGAATAAAAAATGGGGTATATCTCAGTTGAAATAATCAATTATGTAACTGCAAGTAGATAGATCCATTTTTTTTTTTGAATTAGGAAAGATGGAGTAATAAAGTTGGTTGTTATAGATGTGTAATAATAGTCATAATTTGACTGTAATGAATGTATTTTTCGACAATACTGGTTGCAAGGGTCGTAGTCTATTGTTATGAAAGCAATATCCCACCATGAATGTTGTGATTTGTGGTTGTAGCACCAGTCCATCGTAGAGACCGTAGTCGAAAGAAATTGTAGTTGTTAGTCATATAGGTCATAGATGGTTGCTTCGAGAGAGTTGATAGGCCATAGAGGTCGTAGGAGGAAGATGCCGGAGTTGTGAGCCACATAAATTGTACTTGGTCACGTTGGTTGTGTGCTGAGCTACAATAAGATTTGTAGATCATTGAGGCCAGAGCTGAAAGCTGCATGAGCTGTGAGCCGTGTAGGTCATAGTTGGTCACATATTTCGTAACATAGTGTTTGTAATAAATTTTGTAGTTATAGATGCCGGAGTTGGGAGTTTCATGAACTGTGATATGATTCATAGCTAACAATAGCCAAAGTTAAGAGTTACACGAGCTGTGTTAATGTCTATAGCTGTAGAAGCCGATGTTTATGATAATTTTATATGTCACATTAGTCGAAATCGAGAGTTGTGTGAACCATGATAACGTTTGTTGCTGTAGAGAGAGGAGTTGGGAGTTGCATGAGTTGTGATACCTTATGTAGGCCACAGATGTCAGAGTTGTGAGTTGCATTAGATGTGAGCAGTTGGTCACACAGGCCGGAGCGATCAATTGCAATTATGTACTAGAATGCAGATGCCCTAGTTAAGAGTTGTCTGAGTTGCAATAATATTCGTAGGTCGTAGAGGTCGGATTTGAGAATTGCATGAGCAGTGAGAAGTTATAATGTCATAGGCCAAGGAAGCAGGAGTTGCGAGCTGGATAAGTTATAATATAGATGTAAACAACACGCAAGAAAATGGTAAGGTAGTTAGGAATTTCCTCCCAAGTTTCCATTCTATAACTCACCCACCCTAAACAAAATACAAATATTAAATTTTAAATATTTACTATGTAAATATATAAGAATTACATGGCATGTAAGGAATTTTTTTATTTTTTTTAAAAGCCAATGCGCACGTATACCGCCAAACACAAGGATGACGAGGAGGTAGGACCTGCGACTAAACTCCTCGCATCTGCGGCGAGGCGCAAAGGTCGCTGCCTGGACCGAGCAACCTACGAAAGAACTGTACTTTCCGGTAAATTTCCGAATGAAAATGGCGATCGCCGGTAACCCGAACGACAACCCGGCCCGACCTCCTCCGCGTCCCTTGAACTTTCCTGGTTTCGCTCACCTTTATATACGCTCAACAAAACGAAACCACCGCAATAAACTCAGAGTTCTACAAAGCTTTCCACTGAGGTAAAAGTTTCTCTTTTTTTTGTTTTAATCTCCATGTCTCAAGAACAAGGATGACCGATTTCTTAATTCGTTGCTGCAGAAATGTCGAAATATCGAATCGCTACGGGCTCGATCGAAGATTTCAAGTTCAACAATTTCCTCCCGCATCCATTCCATGCCCAAAGTAGCCTCAGCAATTTCCCGATCTCCACTTCTCTGGTTCATGAAGCTGAATCCGACAAAAGCTCCGAGCTTTTCTCCGATCTGGTCCTCGATTACATCAAGGAGATGCTCATGGAGGAGGACATGGATGATGAGTATGAAATGCTTCAATTCCACCCAAACCTCGAAGCCACGGAGAAACCCTTCTACGAGCTCATCGGAGAGAAGTACCCTCCTTCTCCTGATCAACCCCCTCTTTACTTCAGCTCCAGCCCTGAAAGCTCCGATTTAAGCCAAAACCAGTTCATTTCTCCTTCCCAATCTTCCTCCAGCTCTGTCAATGACGATGAGCTTTTCTACAAGACTCTCCCTGCATCCCAATTCGAGAAAGGGGTTGAAGAAGCGAAGAAATTTCTTCCAAGTGCGGATAAATTGGTCATCAATTTCGGAGAAATAGATCATAAGTTCCATCGCGAAGCCACTAACAGCTCTCGCCGGCCAAAGCATCACCATAGAGATGAATCAGCCTTTGGAGATTTGAGAAGAAAAAAGTACTCTGCTATTTCTTTCGAAGAGCCCGCGGTTCCACCGCAGGATTTGGACGACATCCTCCTCTGTGGATCTGATTTCCCCCAAGTTGTAAGCGCCATTAGAGAGAAGATATTCAATGAGGCAACCAACAAGTCTACAAAACACAGAAGGCAGAACGAAGAGGTTGTCGACCTTAACACACTTCTCCTTCACTGCGCACAAACCATCACCGCCGGAAACAACCAGAGAGCTAACGATCTCCTGAGACAAATCCGACATCATTCCTCACCTCACGGCGATGCATTTCAAAGACTGGCGCATTACATCGCCGACGGACTCGAAGCCCGCCTTGCCGGAACTGGAAGTGAAGTCTACCGCTCTCTGGTAAACAAGAGAAAAACGGTAAGCGATGTGTTGAAAGCCTATCAGCTATATCTCGCCACTTGCCCCTTTAGAAAATTGTCCTACAGCTATGCAAACATGACCATTTTGGACACAATTCAGACTGCAAAAAGAGTTCACATCATTGATTTCGGCATCTTCTTCGGATTTCAATGGCCCGTCTTCATAAAAATGTTATCTTTGCGTCCGGGCGGCCCTCCAAAGCTTCGTATCACCGGCATTGACAATCCACTACCGGGTTTCCGGCCGGCTGAGAGGATTGAGGAGACCGGTCGCCGGTTAGCCCATTACGCCGCGCGATTCGGAGTTCCGTTTGAGTACCACGCCATTGCAGCCAAGTTTAATGAAGTGAAGCTTGAGGAGATCCATTTCCGTGAAGGTGAAATGCTCGTGGTAAACAGTTTGTTCAGATTGCATGGCCTGGCTGATGAAACAGTAGTTGTTGATTGTCCGAGGGATAGGGTCCTGAAAGCCATTAGAGAACTGAACCCAGCTGTGTTCATCAACGTTGTTGTGAATGGAAGCTACGGCGCTCCCTTCTTCATGACAAGGTTTCGAGAGGTGCTGTACCACTTCTCGGCGGTGTTCGACATGCTCGACGCAACGGTGCCGAGGGAGAATGAGCAGAGGTATTTGTTGGAGAGGGATATGTATGGGAGGTTCTTGATCAATGCGATTTCATGCGAGGGGTTGGAGAGGGAGAGACCTGAGACGTACAAGCAATGGCAGATGAGGTGTTTGAGGGCTGGTTTTGAGCAGATTCCATTGTGCAGAGAATTTGTGAAGATGGTGAAGAGTAAGGTGAGAGCTTACTATCATAAGGATTTCGGCATTGATGAAGATGGTGAGTGGGTGCTTCAAGAGTGGAAAGGGCGCATCTTGTATTGTCTTTCTGCTTGGAGGCCTAGTTTTTGTTGAAGTTCTTGTCTTAGTTATGTTCTGGTGGAGAAATTATTTAGTGCGTAATTTGATTTTTGATGTTTTACATACAGAGTAATTTATGGTTTCTTAGGTTTTAGAGGGGTTCAGTGAAGAGATGTGAGCGGAAATGTCTGGGGCTTCTGAAGATTTTAATTTGATTTTTCAACGGTTATATTTTATGTTGGAATTAGTGATTTTTTTTCGAGGCAGGGTGGCCTCAAAATCCGACTCTTCGTACATACCACCCCATTTTTTATGTATTTACATCTCTGCACTTAAATTATGCTTTTTTGAATTTTTTTATTTGCGAAATTCTTTCATGTATATTTACATCACTGCTGAAATTCTGTACCTCGGTTAAGCTGGCAGATTTTATAATTTTCTTCTATGTAATGTATTTGTTGTTCTTTACTTATTGGATAATTCTGACAATCTTGATTTCTTAAGTATTATAATGTTCTTTGACTCTATGAGTTGATTTGTATTAGTCTTTAATTGATTTGTATTAGGCTTTTTTTTTATGTAAAGTTGTCGCAAAATTTGTAGTAAATCCAAAAAGAAGTCTCATCTTTTTCTGAACACTAATACCAACAAATTATCTGCTAGACACTAATTCTAACACAAATATGCTTACTAGCCGCAAATCCAATGCTAATAATTGCGTCAAATATTTAAATGATGCTAATTCTATCTACTCCTGTAGCGTTGATTTAATTTCAGGTCTTGAATGATTTGTATATTAATATACCAAAAGATGATGATGATCCAAACTCCATAATGTGTTTTACCCTCTAAAGGAAACTCATTTGTCAAAGATCCACTTTATGCATGATTTTTTGTTTTTGCTTGCTTTTAATTTTCTTTTAGATTTTTAGAAATTTTATGGGGAGAATCACATTTATATAGAAAAGAACTGTTAGATGGTGTTATTCATTTTCTCAAAAATGAAAAAAAAGGGGGGATTTTCATACTTGCCATTGAATTTTTGTATATTTATATATGTAAGCTCTAAATCTATATTGGTTTAATTTTTGTTGTTTGAATGCTTCACATATTGATCTACCAAAGGATGATAGTGGCAAGAACTTCATGCTATGTACAAGTACATGAGTAAAGCTTCACCTTTAGAAAAAAAAAAAAAAAACCCACTTTTGTCCACGAGCCAATTTGGGTTTTTCTTCTCATTTTTGTTCGGTTATAATTTTCTTTTTTATTTTAAGAATATTCAAGAGGAGAATCATATTTCACTTCATGGTAATGCAGCCTGCATTTATCTCAAATGTTTTGAAGGTTTATATGAAATGCTTAACAAGGTTCTTTTGTTTATTACAATACCTTATGTTGAATGGTTTCTATCATGGGCCATTTACATATGTAGCACACAATTTTTATGTATTCACATATCTCACACCAAAACTTTCATATTTACATATATAGAATGATAGCACTCAAATCTTTTATATCACCTTAAAAAAAGCACTACTATCATTCTTAAAACGTGGAATAAAATTTTTCATGCATAGATACCTAAGACGAGTAGTTTTATATTTGCAACTCAATTTACATGTATATTTTATTTATTTATGTTTTTATATTTATATTATTATATCATTATTACATCATTAGTGTCATATTTGATTAATTTTTTTATTAATTACATCATCAAATCCATTCTCAATCGAATCAATGAATCTTGAATATTTTTTTCTTCTAATTTGATATGTATGTTTATTTCCATAACTTTGATATGAGTGCTTTCGTTCATTTACTTACATACCATCTAATTTTTTCTAGTTACCTATCGGACACTAGTTTATATGTTTATTGATAACTAGAGTAATTTGAATAATCTTTTTTTTAAGGTTGATGGATAAACTAAGTAAATTTGAACTCCGGTCAAATCATTATTTATGATTGCGAATGTACTTATTTTCTTTTATCTGACGAGATTTATGAGTGTGAATGTACTCATTGCAGCGTGGTTTTAGCGAAATTTTTATTTTTAAAAATAATTTATTAAAATTTTATTAAAATTTTTTTCCATCATAAGTACGTTTTATTTCTTTAATTCCTAAACTGATGCGTGCCAGAAAATTCGCGATGGTTTAGTAACGAATTATCGTCTTAGTGTTGTACGAGAATTCTGTACACACTCAGATAAAAAAGAAAAAAAAAACCGTGACTACTCTAAAAGTTTTTACATAGAAATCCCGTAAAGGGAAAAAACCACGGGGTCAGGCCCAGTTGTGAAAATCCACTACTGATTGATGATTACAGAAATTTCTTATCCCACAGACGAGAAATGTAACTATATTTTTCAGATTACAACGTTGACTGACAGCGTCTTGTTGGTGATGATTGATGACAGTCAGTGGAGGTTGACGATTATCGGTGATGGTCTTCGACGGTCGGCAATGGTAGACTGCGATCGGCGGTGGTCGACAACTGAAGTCGGCGGTATTTGATGACAATCGACGGTGATGCTGAACTGCAGCTTCTCCTCAAGGTCTCAGTCGGTGGAGGTTGACGATTATCGGTGATGGTTTTCGACGGTCGGCAATGGTAGACTCCAATCTGCGGTGGTCGACAACTGAAGTCAGCGGTGTTTGATGACAATCGACGGTGATGTTGAACTGCAGGTTCTCCTCAAGGTCTCAGACTCTCTCTCCATACTTTAGCTCCCCCCTTCTTATGAGAGGGATGAGACTCTATTTATAGTGTTATGGGTGCAATTAATGCATGAATATGAATCATTTTGATCGGACGATCCAGAGAGCTTCCCTCGATTAGATTATACGACGTTTACTGGACATTTAAGTGCCTTAATGATGTCATAATTGAGTGATCTGGGCTCGTTGGATTCGTCTTGTCGAGTCGCTCGATTTGAATATAAACTTGTCATATTCGACAACCCTTTGATCTTCCACATGTGTCTAGAAATCACCTAAGTATGATTCAATGACTTGATTTGGGCTAAATTTGACTTGAATTGGCCTAGTTTTCACATCATTAAGTCCGTCTTATGAAGCCGGTCAGTTTTACTTTAAGTTTGCTGAAAACAGAGCTCTGGATGACTTTTATCAAGATTTGAATGTTTCCTGCTTAAAATATCGTCTCGAGATTCGTGTCATGCTTTGAGATTCATATCGGATGATAAAAATTTATTGGTGGCATATCATAAGATATTAAGTTATTAAGAATAAAAGATTGAAGATAATTAAACAGTACAAAGCGATCTCAAATTACCGCATCGTTAAGAACTGACTTATTTCATGTTTTCGTGTCGATTTTTTAAATTACTTTAAAAATTTAAATACTGATTACATGACAGTTCTAAAAAAATTGAGAAAATGATGGAATGTATATATTATTAACTTATTTCACGTGTAATAAACATTTCAATTTCGCTAAATAATAAAAAAATAGGACTGGATTATTTATTTGAATTTGAATAAAACATATGAATATATTTATGTTTTTCTTGTATTTGGAAAGATTGGGTGATAATTTAATATCTAGTGTTGTATGATGATCTAATACATGCAGATAGTTTGAAAGTAGGAGACACTAATTTTTTTTATTACATGGAAAAAACTTGGAAAGAGAAAAAATTATGGGGTCTAGCCGAGATGCAATATTCAATTATAAGTGTGTAATTACAAAGAATGCACTCTTTTTCCAATAACTGAGAGGGCAGAATTATAACTTCGCACCAAATACAAAGTTTGTCTATGTATAAAGTACATAAATCTTCAGGGGGCCGGAGAAAGATGCTGCATTTTGAAAATAGCTATCGCAGTGCAGTTGTTGCCGCGAGTTATTATTGGAACTTTGATAAGGGGTTATTTATGACACCTTATTTGGGATGCGTCGTTACATCATATTTGAGCTAAATTGTTAAAGTATTAATACTTCATCAACAAATTCACATCATTTGACACGAATCCCGTGGCATGACATGGATCTCAATGCTTCTTTTTTAGCAAGAAACTTTCAATTATTAATTAAAATTCATCTAATACTTCGATTTCAACAAACTTATAGTCAAACTGGTCGACTCGATGCGACGATCCAAATGATACAAAAATTGATCGAAAGCAATCAAATCAATCTCAGATTAAGCCATTAATTCGCTTTTAGAAGCTTTTTGGGTATATTTGGAAGATTAAACAGACGTTGAATAGCGAGCATGTGATTGAATAGAGCATCTCGATAAGATACATCCAACGAGCCTAAGATCGTTCAATTTTGACATTGTTAAGATAATCAAATATCCATCAAATTTTGCCTAATCGAGGGAATCTCTTCGGTGTCCATTCAGAGTGGTTCATATTCCTTCATTAATTGCAATCGGAACTCTATAGAGCATCACCCATCTAATTAGGGGGGAGAGCTTGAAGTCGGATGAAAAATAAAGCTTGGAAAAAGGGGTGAAGTTGGCTCCTACTCCTGCTGCTACCAACCACCGTCGACCATCACTGACCGCTCACCGCCCTCTCCTTGTGAGGAAGCATCATGAGAAGCAATTCGCAGAATCACGAATCAACCTGCAAAGTGGCACATCATCTCAAACACTGGGCTAACCCCAGAGATAGTGTAACAACACACCCCAAAGACAATGCAACAATGCATCTCAAAGATGGGGGAACAACGCACCTAACATATGCTCTTGCAGCTCCCGACTTTGGCGATTATGACCTACGGACGTCATTACTACTCACCACTCCAGTTAGTGTTACAAACTACTGCCTGAGTGGTGCACAATTCATGTAGCTCCTGACTCTAGTCTTTGCGGCCCACGAACATCATCACAACTCATCACTATGACAAATACGACTAGCCTCTATGACCAACTGACGCTCCTGAGTAATCACTACAACCTGCTGATGTGTAGAAAAGAATGTTTGATTTTTTTTATATTTTTGCACGTATTTATGGATGAAATCGCACTTTAATGAAGGAATTTTTTATGTTTTTCTTGCAGGTGCAACAAATTAGAAGTGGAGCAAAGTGAAGAAGAAATGGAACAAAGTGAAAGTGACTTGGAACTATGGAGCAATCGGG